TTTAAACGACTAATGTTGACTAATGTTGACTAATGTTTATTATTGTTAAATACTGATACAATAATTAGATACCAAATGCATTTACTCCATGTACCATCATTCGTACACGGAGCCTGCTACACCCAAGGAAATATCTCTTGTACATTAGAAGAGGATGAGGCCATGTTTCTTTCTTTATGTATGTGCATATGAGATAATTTACATTTTTTTATTCCAATATGGTACAACAAATGATCATAAAACGATCGCGACCGATTGACTGATGCGGCTTTTCCTCCGTGACATATTTCTCCTGCAGTATCATTGGAAAGAGGATCAGTAATTAACCGTTGGGAACGTGACAGGGATTAAATAAAGTGCAATGAGAACGAATAAAATGAGGGAAAGGGATTTTCGTCCTTTTACGAATTTTTAATGTGATAAATATTAGGTGCGCAACTAAGTTTTCGGGTTTCACACATGGATGGCGATAACGACACATGTAGTCGACATATATGTCTGAAGTTGTGTTTTTTTATAGCTTGGACATCTCATAATAATAACCAGTCGTAATACCAACACATATCGCAACGCAAAAATATTTTTTCTAACAACGAAGATGTCAAGTTTTGTGCCAAATAAACAGCATTTGCAGGAATCTTTGCTTTTCTGCTTTAACTTGAAAAAAAGTGCAGCTGAAGCACATCGTTTGCTTAAGGAGGCCTACGGCGAACATGCATCATCGAAAACTACCTGTGAAAATTGGTTTAAACGCTTCAGAAGTGGCGATTTCGACACTGAGGACAAAGAGCGCTCCGGAAGACCAAAAACAATTGAGGACGTCGATCTGCAAGCGTTATTGGATGAAGATGATACGCAAACACAAGATCAACTTGTGGAGACATTAAACATGACCCGCCAAGGTATTTCCAAACGTTTACATGCTATGGGAAAAATACAAAAGGAAGGAAAATGGGTGCCGCATGAGTTGACTGAGAGACAGATGGAAAATCGAAGGGCCACTTTCGAAATTTTGCTTTTGCGGCATGAAAGAAAGAGTTTCCTGCATCGAATTGTTACTGGCGATGAGAAGTAGATATATTTCGAGAATTCCAAACGCAAAAAATCGTGGCTTTCATCTACTGGCGAAGCATCAACATCGACGGCACGACCAAATCGCTTCGAAAAGAAGACAATGCTCTGCGTTTGGTGGGACCAGAAAGGAATCGTGTACTATAAGCTGCTGAAAAGAAGCCGGGCGAAACGGTCAATGGGCATCGCTACCGACAACAACTGATCAATTTGAACCATGCATTGCTCGAAAAACGGCCAGAATGGGACACGAGACATGAACGAGTGATATTGCAGCACGACAATGCTCCGTGTCATCGCACTTCCATCATCCAGGACACCATCAAAGCGCTGAAATGGGATCTGCTACCGCACCCGCCGTATTCGCCAGACCTGGCCCCTTCTGATTATCACTTGTTCCGGTTGATGGCGCTTGGTTGGGCAACACTTGGCCAATTTCGAAGAAGCGCAAAATTGGTTGGATGAATGGTTTCGGTCCAAAGACGCGTCGTTTTATCGTCGCGGTATTCATGTATTGCCAGAGAGATGACAAAAATGTGTAGCTAGCGAAGGACGATACTTTGAATAAACCATTTTTTGTATTTCTCTTGAAATTTTCCATTTTTCATTGATCAAAAAAACCCGGAAACTTAGTTGCGCACCTAGTAATTTATGGTTTTTAATATTAACATCAATGATATCCTTGCACGTTTTGATCTGTCTGGTAATACATCGAATGATGACACGGTCGCTGGCAACTGGCATTATAATATTTCCACGTATTAATGTTGCATATAAAATAGAATTAATTACGTTTGAAAAATCGATTGTCTGGCCGGTAAAGAATATCAATAAGATGAGATGAAACATATATAAGTCTCCAATTGTGCATTTATTTACTACATATTTAAGAATTCAGTCATCGATTAAAGCTGTAGGTTAGGTTTCACTCTGAAGAAAAAAGTCCTTTACCATTTTGCAAATTAGTACGCAAATTTTCAAGCTATCAATTAACACTTTGACATCTGCACGTGTGACCAAGATTCTTTTGTCTGGCGCCAGTAGGTCTTATGTAGATCCTACCGCCTGTCGCCAGCGTTTTTCGAGAGATCGTAAAACGTCTTGTTTTACTAATCTGAATATCAATATCTAATATCGATATCTCAATATCTCGGCATTTCAATAGCTTTGCACGCGACATCAACCTGGTGTCACCGGACGGCATAGTGTTAATAGTAAAATAACGGAAATCGAGAATACGGATGAATAGGATAGTTTACCATATTTAGTTACCTAAAAGCTCGTTCATGGTATCTGATAAAATTTATTGGTCAAATCGTTTCTAAGATAAACATATTTCATCCGAACACATGATAAATCATTCGAACACATCTCTCGCGGTCGTCCGGCACGCTTCTTGTCTTTCAAGTCAAAATTGCCATTTTTAAAGCGCCGAAACCACTCACGACATAACTTTCAGCTATCTCACTATAAATTTTGCAAATGATTCTGGTTGCTTTGGCAGCTATTTTGCACTGATGAAGTAAAAAAGACATACAACGACGAATATACGTCTTATCGATTTCCATCTTGATACGAATTAAAAATGTTTATGTCAATAAATATGACGAATTAAAAATGTTTGTGTCAATAAATATGACTTTTGAGGACTTACGCATCAGTTTCTATGCAGGTTGACCAATACTGACCTAATCTAACAAAAATGCGTCGCAACTTTCATGTGAATAATACATAATGTCATCTATATGTGTGAACGATGGAAACTTTTGTACACCCCTACTACATACACCAATGAAAATATGTTTTTTACTAGTTTTTTAGTATTTTATTTATCCCACTTTTAGACTCTTAATTAAATGATATTACAGAAAATTTTTTTATTTCTGAAACGAGGCTTTTAAAACCAAATGTTTATACGAATTTCATAGAATGCCCCCCCTCCCCCCACACATGCATACACGAGTCAAATTTCTAAAACATTGGATTTAAGAAATACCTGCACATTTATTGTGAAAAAAGCAATGAAAAGAAACCGCCAAGACTTTCTTTTAAAATGTAGATATTTTTCCTTGAGTTTTATTAGACATTTGGATAGTCGCTGTTAAATATACGTCTTTATTCTACCAGCAATGATTGCCTTATAAAGAAGTATTTGCCGACAACATCACTTTATTATTATAATATTATAGAAGCTATGTAGAAGTATGTTTACGAATTTATGTGTCAAGAGGATGTTCTTTCTTTAAATATGGTCTAAGTAAGCGCTAAAAGTTTGCCGATGGAAGACGGAAATCTTATCGTGATAAGCGCATCGGTGCTAAAGTTAAAAGATGTGAAATATTATGATTACGAAAAGAGAGAAAAATTTGATTTAACAGTAGCTGGGTCAACTTTCGAGCATCTTGAAATTTCATGTTGATAGTCTCTAACCTATATGAATAAACTTATATGATATATTCCTAGATAAATTAAAGTTGTTTGCAGTTCTATGATACACTATTTTGCTACGAAATAAAAAAAATAAAAAAAAATAAAAAAATAAAAAAAATAATTTTTAATACTTTGGCGTCCGTACGTGTGTCCAACATTCTTTTGGCTGGTGCCGGTAGGTCTTGTGTAGATCCTGCCGCCTGTCATCGGCGTTTTTCGAGAGATCGTAAAACGTCTTGTTTCACTAATTTCAATATCAATATCTAATATCAGTATCTCAATATCTCGACATTTGTTCGTTTTGCACGTGACACCAATGTGGTGTCAGTGGCATTTGTGCGAAAATTTTCACATGATACCAACATGATGCCACCAGATAGCAGTGTTAAAAGAGCCTCTAGATGTAGTCATTTTCAATCATTAATAACTTAATAACTATTGACTTAATAAATATTTACTTATAAATAATAAATAATAATAATAAATAATAAATAATAATAAATAATATATATTAACTTAATAAATATTTTCGCAAAATAGTATTTGACTTTTCTTCTCAGTTTAATCTGATTAATTTTCACAATTTTTCGTTTCCAAAAGATCCCGGATACCCTGTATAAATTGGATTAGGTTAGATCTTTTTTGGGAAAGAGGTTTAGAAGAAGGGGCTCCGCTTCTTCTTCATTCATATGTACTGTTTGACATTTTTTAATATACGATTACTGTGTTAAGAAAATAGGCTGTATTTATGAAACTTCTTTTGTTAATAACTTTTACTTGATATGTATATCATTGATATTGACAACGTATGTCATACATAAAATAGTATTTATAATCATACATAAAATTTATAATCATACATAAAATAGTATTTATAATCAGTCGAGTAGATTTGTAAAATAGTCCAAAAAATTCTTTTGCTCCAATGACCAAAAAAAATTTTTAAATTAATATAACGAAATAATATACCTAAAAGCTACAGGCCACGTTAATTATACAATTATTTATTGATTAATTACATTAAAAGAAACACTTTCAGAATATCTTACAAATTGCACAATCGATTATAAGTATCGTTTTATACGTGAATATTGGTTTTTTTATTTCAATAAGAAATTCTTATTTTTTATTTTATATTTTACAAGAATTCATTTAATTTTTAATTTTATTTTACAAAATTTTTGTTTTATTTTTGATTTTATTACAAAAATGTTTTCATTTTATTATTAATTTTATTTTACTAGAATTTCTTTCATTTTATTTTTAATTTAATAAGAATAATTTTTATTTTGCAAGATTTTTTAGCGTATATTTTTTCGCTTCTAATATCAATCAACGGACCACTAGGGATCTTTATTTTCACGTTTATAATCACGAAAATCATCATGGCAATCAATGCGTTAAAATTCTAGTTTTATTAAGGCAGTAAAGAAAATATAGATCAAAGCGATGTGATTCTACGATTTTCTAACGGGCCAATCGAACGTTTTCTGTTGTAGAAGTCGAGGAGCGCTCCGGCGGGAAGGCGCGCGGCGGTAAACTAGCGCGTCGTGCGCGCTCCTTCAAGGAGGACTTTCTGGAGAAGCTCTCCCACATGCGTTCTCCCGGTAGCGGTAGCGGCGGCGGAGGCAGCGGGGCGGCCACGAGGGCCGCCTCGCCCTCGTCACCACGTACGCCGCGTGACAAGAACGCCCCGGGCTGCAACGATTCCGGCAGCGCTCTGGATAAAAATCCCCTACGCGACCTGCACATTCACGTGCGGCAGGTGCAGCTGGCACTGCTCCACTTCCGGGATGTCGTATCAAAGAAGAAGCTCGAAATGCTGCCCGGGAACGGCACCATTGTCCTTGATACTGTTACCACCATACACAATGCATTGAAATCTTACCTGCTCTATGAGAACAGGTAAGCGATTTTCAATTCTGCTGTAGAAGTAGAATTCTGTCCGTCGAATTTCCCTGACGTTGACGAATTGCACAGGATATCTAATACAACGTGCAATAACGCTTGTATGCAGGACATCAATCACATAACGGAATTTCTCACTTTTCACTTATCCTGATTACGCGTGAATTGATCCCGCCCATTCGGTTTCCTTTTCGTAGAATGATTTTATGTACGTAGTTAGACATACAAAAAATGAAATCACTATAAATTAAGTTTCCTGTTTCCTTTTTTTTTTTAGTGGAATATTTCCAAATTTTTACTTTAAAAACTTGGGACATTTTGTAAAAGAACAGGACATGTTAGAAGTGAAGAAAACCAAAAATAAATCTACTATATACTCTATGTTACGCTTTAAATAAGATAGTGGTATAAAGATACCTACATTAACTAACATAAATTTCATTTTAAAAATGAATTAACACACACTAATCACATTTTAAAAATGAATTAACACACACAATAATCACAAACACACCTAATCAGAAAAACTATACTCTTAAAATATACATAATAGTCAAGTTTATATTTTAGATTTATCAGAATATTTATTATTAGATGTACAAATGAATAATCCAAATTATTTTATGCAGTTATGAAATCAATTTTAAATTGAATAGATTTTCCCGCTTTTTTGTGATTATGCAATGTTGACATATAGCTATTAAAAAGAACATGGTTGGGCGAAAGGCCCAACATAACCTTCAAAAGTATTCAGTTCAGTACAGTCGAAAATGGCAACAGATAAGGTGCATATCCGACACTGCATTCTTTACGAATTCCAACAAGGAAAAAATGCTGCAAGAGCGTGCGAATCGATTTGTTCCTTTCTCGGCAAAGGTGTTGTATCGTACGATGTATGTGTATTTTGGTTTAAGCGGTTTAAAAGCGATAATTTCAGTCTAATCGACAAACAACGCCCTGGAGGCCCTCCGAAGTACGATAATGATGATTTGGAACAACTGCTCGTTGAGAATTCGGCACAAACACAAAAAGAGCTTGCAGAACAGTTGGAAGTAACGCAGCAAACGATTTCCAAACGCCTACATGAGATGGGAGAGATCCAGAAATAAAGAAAATGGGTTCCGCATGAACTCACTGAAACCAACAAAAATCAATGAGTGGCAGCGTGTTTTTCTCTTCTCAATAAGCAGCGTCGAAAGTCTTTCTTGTGGAAAATCGTTACGGGCGATGAGAAATGGATACTTTATGACAATCCGAAACACAGAAAGTCATGGGTAAATCCCGACGAATCATCAAAATCGGTCGCAAAACCCAATTGCTTCGGAAAGAAGGTTCTTCTCTGCATTTGGTGGGATATCAAGAGCGTGCTTTATTATGAGTTGTTGGAACCGGGCGAAACAGTTACTGCGGACTGCTACCAACGTCAATCTGCTTGAGTCAAGAATTGGAACGAAAACGCCCGTATACTGGCAAAAGAGAACGTCCAGTGAAATTGTTGCATGACAACGCCAGGTCATACATTGCTTCCAATACAAAAGACACCATAATGAGTCTTGGCTGGGACGTCTTGCAGCACCCGGCGTATTCACCAGACATTGCTCCATTCGGTTATCACTTGTTCCGGTCGATGCGTCCGGTCGACGCCTTGTCCGATATGCACTTTCAATCAGTGGATGAGATCCGAAAATGGCTTGACGACTTTATCGTATTCAAAGACGTAACATTTTTCTGAGATCGAATTTATCAGCTGTCTGAAAGATGGCTTAAAGTTATAGAAAGCAACGGCGAATACTTTGATTGAACAATTTAATTTATTTTCTTTTAAAATAAATCTTGAATGTAGCTGAAAAAATTGGATTGTTCATTTATACACCTAATAGATTTATGGACCTATCGAAAAATTTTTTTCTTCTGATATTTGGATATCTCGCATTTTCATCTATTTTTTTAGTAAAAGAAAATTTTTTTCAAACATTATCATTTATATTGCATTTACTTTTCGGCATTATATGGATAAAAAACAACAAATATTATAGCACAAACGCTAGCAACAATACTATGTATTATGTAACCGGAAATTGATAAAGTAATATATTGTCAAAAAAAGCATGAAGAAAAGAAGAGCATCGCCATAGTATTGCCAATAATATAGAAATAGATAGATAGATAGATAGATAGATAGATCATAATAGAAATTAGTCAACAATGTTTCATAGATTGATCACCAAGAGTGTTGCATGGTTATATTAAAAAACGGAACAAAATCCGTTATCTCTAGATTTTTTTTGCGAGGACATTTAAAAAGCAGGATATTTGGAATAAATTTGGGACATTTTATTAAAAAAAAAAATGGGATTGTTCCGTGAAAGATGGGACAAATTTTTTATAAACACATTTGATTAATTATTAGGTATTTCGGTTAATTTTCGTTATTATTTTTGCTTGGAAAATATATTTATTTCAATTGCAAAATGAGTTGATTAATCAATCAAAATATTTTCCATCATTTTGTATTATTTTTTCCATCTTTCTGGTAAGAGATGAATTCCGCGGCGATAAAACGATTCAGGTTTTGAAGCAATCCATTCATCTATCCACTTTCGGACTTCTTCGTAATTTTAAAAGCGTATGTCTTGAAAGGCATGCTGCATTAAACGAAACAATTGGTAATCAGATCTGGAGAATACATGGCGGAAGAAAAACTTCCATTCGAGCTCTGTCAGAGTTTCTTTGACGACTTCTGCAACATGTGGCCGGGCATTGTTGTGCAACAGAATCACTTTTCTTTTGTTGTATGCGATTTGTGGTAATTTTTTATCTAACGCTAACTTCAAACTGTATGATTGTTGTCGGTACCGGTCAGCCGTAACAGTTTCAGTTGGTTTTAAGAATTCATAATACGTACATAACACCTTCTTGATCTCATCAAATAGAGAGCAATGTCTTATAACCATGAATATTACGTTTTGGCGCCGATGTGGATGATTAGCTTAGGTCTACCCTTGATTTTTTGCGTTTAAAGAAAAATAGGATCCACCTTTTTATCACTTTTTTATCACCAGTGACAATCCGGTACAAAAAACTTTGTTTTTTCTGCCTGACAATCAAAACAGTAGCGACACACGGTTCGGCATGTTCGCTTCGGTCAGTTTATGTGGCACATATTTTTCTTTCTTTTGAATTTTTTTCCATTGCATGTAAACTGTCAGAAACTGTTGAAACTGCAACATTTAATGCCTCAGCTAATTTCTTGAGTGTTTGAGATTGATTTTAATCCAATAATGCTTGCAGTTTGGCGTCTTCGAACTTTTTTGACTGACCTGGACGTTCCTTGTCTTCCATATCAAAATCATTTTTGAATCGTCAAAACTAATCTCTGCGTGTTGTTTCTGATGGAACAGAGTCACCAGAAGTTTCCATTAATATTCGATGTGCTTCAGTTGTAGCTTTCTTTATATCAAAGTAGTGCAGGAGAATATATCGAAAAAACAACGTATTGCGTCCCACTTTGAACTGATTTAAAAACAATATTATTGCTTGCAAAAGTAAACCTTGGTGAACTGAATTCTATTGAAAAATACCTAATCTTTAATATGAGCTCCAGCTATCACAGTTCGCTACATTTGCAGCTGGAGCCATCTAAATGCGAACAGAAATTAACCGAAACACCTAATATTTAATATCTTGGATTGGGAGGTACGAGGGTAGTCCCAAAAGTACCTAACCTAACAAAGAAAACACAAAAAATTTGGGAAAAAATATCTTTATTTCTCTACATAGTCTCCTTTTAGCTCAATACCAGGTCTGTAAATATGAAACCGGAATTTGCCCATAGATGGCCCTAGCTATCAATGTAATTACCGTCAAACCGCGTCATTGGCGTCATTTCCATTTGTTGACATCTGACAAAAATTTTCAACTCACAACAATACAAGTTTCATACAACAGCATAGTTTGTAATAGCGTTGAACATGTCGAATTTTGTGCCTGGAAGCTACGATTTGCGGACAACATTGATTTTCTGTTACCATTTGAAGAAAACTGCTGCAGAATCGCATCGAATGCTTGTCAAAGCTTACGGTGAGCATGCTCTTCGTAAATCACAGTGCTTTAAGTGGTTTAAAAAATTCAAACGTGACGGTTTTGACGTGAGAAACGAAGAACGTGAAAGACCACCGAAAAAGTTTGAAGACAGCGAATTGCAAGCATTGTTGGATGAGGATGACGCTCAAACGCAACAACAACTCGCAGATCAATTAAATGTGACACGAGAAGCCGTCTCCATACGTTTGAAAGCCATGGGAAAGATCCAGAAGATGGGAAAATGGGTTCCACATGAACTGAATGAAAGACAACAGGAAAACCGAAAAACTACTTGCGAAATGCTGCTCGCCAGGTACAAAAGAAAGTCATTTCTCCATCGAATTATGACTGGCGATGAAAAGTGGATATATTTTGAGAATCCTAAGCGTAAAAGATCATAGGTAACTCCAGGCGAACCATCGACATCGACTGCAAGACCAAATCGCTATGGACGGAAGACAATGCTCTGTGTTTGGTGGGATCAGAAGGATGTGATCTATTATGAGCTGCTAAAATCTGGCGAAACCGTTATTACTGAACGCTACCGACAACAAATGATCGATTTGAATCAATTTTTGCGTGAAAAACGACCAGAATATCAAAAAAGGCAACATAAAGTGATTTTGCTTCATGATAATGCACCATCACACACAGCAAAACTGGTCAAGGAAACGATTGAGGCGTTTAGTTGGGAAATACTTTCGCATGCGGCTTACTCACCAGACTTGGCTCCGTCCGATTACTACTTATTTGCTTCGATGGGATACGCACTTGCTGAGCAACGCTTCACTTCTTACGAAAATGTACGAAAATGGCTCGATGACTGGTTTGCCTCAAAAGAGCAACAGTTTTTTTGGCGTGGCATCCACAAATTGTCAGACAAGTGGGAAAAATGTATAGCTAGCGATGGGTAA